GAATCTCCATTAAGTAAATAATTTTAAATCATGAAAGGCATACACAAAAATACTTGAGAGGATTATGTATAATAGCAAAAAGAATAAAGAAATAATTTATATATGAATTTAAATCAGTCAAGTGCAGTACATCTGAAAGGACAGAAATGGTGTTTATGAAAGTATATTTCATTATGCTATAATGTAGAGGTGGTGAGTGCTCCCTGTGGCATATCACAGTGGTGAGTGCTCCCTGTGACATATCAGAGTGGTGGGTGCTCCCTGTGGCATATCACAGTGGTGAGTGCTCCCTGTGACATATCAGAGTGGTGGGTGCTCCCTGTGGCATATCACAGTGGTGGGTGCTCCTTGTGGCATATCACAGTGATGAGTGCTCCCTGTGGCATATCACAGTGATGAGTGCTCCCTGTGGCATATCACAGCAAGAGTGAGAGGAGCATATGACAAATGGGAAAGGTCAGAGTCTAATAGCAATTATGTTCTCATGGGAGAGTTTGTATTTGTGTTTGCTATTGTTTTCTGCACTCAATTCTTATTATGATCAGATTCAATTCTACAACAGAAATAATAAATTATATTTTAAGCTGTTGAAGTGTTCACCAATGTAGATCAGATGACCTGATAACTAAGAAAAGAAGGAGGAGGAAGAGGAGGAGGAAGAGGGAGAGGAGGAGGAGGAGGAGGGAGATAAGGAAGAGAAGGAGAAAGAGGAAGAGAGGAAGGAAAGAAAGGAGGGAAGAAGGAAGGAAGGAAGGAAGGGAGGGAGGGAGGGAGGGAGGGAGGGAGGGAGGGAGGGAGGAAGAAATCACCTGAAGGAAGTATGAAAGATATGCCCCCCCAGGGGTCAGGGTGGGGTGGGGGCGTGGGGTGTGGATCAGGATACTATAAATCTACTGGATAATGTTTTATGTTGCTGAGGGACAGCATCATGGTAAATGTAAGAGCGTGGTTAAGCATCAATCTTCTGGACCCTAAAGGTAAGATCATACGGTTCATTTAGGTAAGAAGTTCTTTTAAACTATAAAACTTCAAAGAAAGTCATGCTTGCATTTGAATAGGACATTGGCTTGTTTGTTTGTTTGTTTTCCCCTACTTGGTACAAAATATAAATTTGAGTTTCCGGACTTGAGACTTTATGGAGATGATGCCGTATTTTATAAATTCTATAATTGTGTTAGCCCAGTGTGATATCATGCAAAATACATAACAATTAATTTGAGACCTATATGTAGGTAGTAAAACTACTAAGTGAGCAAGCAGGAGATCAGCACAAAGCCAGACACGGAGCTTCTTGTTTGGAGCATGGAAGATGGCGAAGTTCCTGGGGCACAGGGCAGGAGGAGTTCAGAAGAGTTCACTAGAAATCTATTTCTCGAGGTCAGTGTGGACAAACACACAGGCATTTACTACGCAGTTGAATGTATTAAGAACGGCACTGTGTGTCACGGCATCCATAAACACTTCGTGATAAAAATGGAAAACGTTTGTTGTGTTAAAAGGTTATGATTCTGTTAAAAAACAGAAAAATCAATCACGAGAAGAAACTTTGCAACCTGGGACGCCCTCTAGCGACCATATCGCAGAAACACAGTTAAATGTCAGTTGCGTCTTAAAACATGAGCTTCAGCCAGATAAGGTAAAGGGCACTCTCCCAAACTATTCAAAGAAATGTCTTGTTTTTACATTAAAAAAATTAAATGCCTCTTATTTTCGTTTCAATGTATTTTAAGAATGACCCCAAGGAAAGTTTTTTTAAAGCAAGATTGTTTCACAAAACATTTCAAAATTTAAGTATAAACCAGAATAAAAAGAAACATTATCAAAATCTTATGCTTGGTGAATACTTTAAGATTGGCTCTCTCCATTCAAGTTTTTCCTTTCAGTTTTTAAAAGAATTGTCGTTTAAATAGTAAAGATTTCCTTGCAGAATTTATGGAAGAATTTTACATTGGTTCCTCCAGACTTGACAAATGGTGGCAGGCGTCAGCAGCCTTTGGAGTGCCATATGTAAAAATGACTTCTCAACAGTCATGGGTCAAAAAGCAAAGTCAGTTATTTGTGTGTGTGTGTGCGTGTGTGAAATTGTTTGTCCACCAAGATCTTTAACTTGTTGGAGGCAAATTCTTTTCTATTTTCTATTTACATTAGGACAGCTCTTAGCATAGCTTCCAGTCCTAGAAAGGCATGCTTAAATTCCTTAATAAAATCATTTATATAAATTTACTATAGTTAAAGATAATTTCAAAAGATATTTTATAGCCTGACAGAGAGGAAAAAAGAATTAGATTAAATTAATAATAGAAATACGTAAACAAATAACAGGAGATTAAAAAACCAAACATTTAACAAACAATAGAATATAGCAGAAGGTGATCCAATAAGAAATTTATCTACATTGGTTTGTGGGCGTATCATATTTTAAAGATAAAGTTTACTATTTAGCTAGTTGTGACAATTTATGCTATGAGTGTATGAAGTCCTTGGTAAGAGCTGTCAATCATAGAGACCAATGTGAGAATGTCTCTGATATTTGACAACTCTGTGATGTGGAGGAAAGATAATAGAACCTCTGTTTCAGTTAACTGAATAAACAACATAATTTAAAAAATGTGTCCCTCAAAACGACCTCTTTCTTGTCGTTGTGTCTAAACAATGCGGTATGGCAGCTACTTAGATGCATGTACAGTGTGCTGGCTATCACAAGAAATCTAGGGAAGATGCACTTAGCATGTTTTGCCAAATATTAAAGCATTTTATATATAGATTTGAACATCCTTAAGTTTCAGTATCTGCAGGTCTTTGGAACCAAATCCTTTGCCCCTGTATCAAAGCTCTAAGCCTGTATGTATGTGCTGTATACTTTGTAACAAACATTAATAGCTGTGGAGGCTGAACTAGATGCCCCCATAGTCTAGGGCATTTTAATATTTGGTCCCCAGTCCGTGGCACTCTTTGGGCAATTTAGGAGGTATGACTTTTCTGACGGAAGTACATCATTGAAGCCAGGCTCTGAGATTTCAAAGTCTTGCACCAGCCCCAGAGCTCTTTCAATTTCCTTTTATTGTTTATTTGTTTGATGAGCTCTCAGCTTGTTGTTTCAGCTGCTTCCTCCCAGACATGATCCACCCGCATTTATCTGGAACATAAGCCCAAATAAACCCTTTCTACTGCAAATTGCCTCGGCCACGGTATTTCTATTGCAGCAATAGGAAAGTAACTAAGGTAACAATAGGAAAGTAACTAAGGTAACAATGGGAAAGTAACTAAGATAACAATGGGAAAATAACTAAGGTAAAGTTAGGAAAGAAACTAAGGTAACAATGAAACCATGTTATAAATCTAGTGTGGAGGGATGTGCAGTATTTTAACTTGTTTTCTGACTTCACCATAGTGGTACAAAAGTCGTATGTATTCAATAGAAAGTGTGCCCGAGTTTGAATGCCAGTTGTCTCCCTGGCTAACTCTGTGATCCAGATCTCGGTTAGGCTAACTCTGTGATCCAGATCTCGGTTAGGTTGCTGGGGTGCAGCACGGAACTGTGAGTCAGGCCCAGGATCCCAGACAGGAACAGTTCCAATCCCATAGCATTGTGTGTTGCCAAGTGAGAATATCTTAGAACGGGTTTACGCAATTTTAGGTCAAAGAGGGTCTGTCTGAGTACATACATTCTATGGCCCGATTTCTTAGACTGTGCATCATGATCCATATGTCATATGGATGTAGGCATCATAAAAATTGGTGATAATAGAATGTTTCAGGAATGCACCATCACTCAAAACTGAATCATGATCAACTTGTAATAAATTTGAGGTGGTTTAGTCAGTATGACTGGTGTGTAATTGTGTGGTTTGATCACTGCCTTGGTTCTAAGGCATGAGCCCTTTACTCTGCTCATACCATCCTGCCATGCAACGACAACACTGAAGCATGCAGGCTCAGATTGCAGACTGTGTCTGCTGTTCACTGCATGGCTTACCATATAGACAGGGGTTTTTGCTTTCACAGAAATATTATGGTTCAATTATGAAAGTCAGACTTTTAGTAGTTTCGTGGCATCATTCTTAGAATGTAAACGTAACTTAGTATAACTTTAGAATGTACTGCTAGGGCCGGGTGGTGGTGGTGCATGCCTTTAATCCCAGCACTTGGGAGGCAGAGGCAGGTGGATTTCTGAGTTCGAGGCCAGCCTGGGCTACAGAGTGACTTCCAGGACAGCCAGGACTACACAGAGAAACCCTGTCTCGAAAAAACAAAAACAAAAAACCAAAGCAACAACAACAAAAGAATGTACTGCTAGGTGGCTTGAGGCTTTTTTAAAAAGATTTATTTTTATTTACACATGTATCTATGTCTGTGCACCACATGCATGCAGGTTCTGGAGCTCAGAGAGGAACTCCAGACCTCTGGAACTGGAGTAGCAAGTGACTGTGAGTGCCTGACCTTCTGGAAACTAAACCTCTACAACAGTAGAAAGCCCCCTTAAGCACTGAGCCACCTCTCCAGATTCAGAATGTTTGATCTTGAAAATGACTGGGTTATCTTAAATTTTATTTAAAAAGTTGTTCAGTGAATTTTCATTTGTGGTTGAGGCAGACGTACCTGTCATTTCTGCCATTTTATGCCCATTTAACATATGTTGAACCTATGTTAGCGCATGAGGACCCCATATAAAGTGGTGTTCTCAGCACTGATAGTTATAAAATCCAAGGACTGATGATCTGCTGGCCAGCCAAGGTCCTTTACAAATGCTCTCAGTCCCTGGTGGCATTTTGTGACACAGGCTTCAGATGGAGAAACTGATGTCACAGGGATACTCAAGGGACCCCAGGTGAATCCCCAAACTGTCATCTCCTAGGTGACTATTTTCTTTCAGGAAACTCACATCTTTCTTTGTAAGTTTTGGCTAATAACAAGCTAGGCCATTTCTTTCCCTTTCCTTTGTAACTCCATCATCAAGTTTCATCCATAGCGATAGGGATATATATGAGACCGTCTCTTACCGGCTTGTGTTCGTATAGAGCAGTTTAGAGTGCCGAGGATGGGCCACAGACTTGATATCTCCATAGGGGTTGTCCACATCGTCAGCGTTTGTGCTCTGCACATGACCACTGTTGCAGGGAAAAGCAAAGGTATAGGAAACTTAGATTAGTTGGGCAAAGCAAATAAGAGAAGTTTTGTTTGCCAGAAAGATCAAAAGCACAAGAAGGAAAATGTGATGTCAGATGGCAATTGGAATGAGAAACGAGAACGATAGGGCTCCTTCTCCGAATGTGAGTCCTCTACGCTGGGATCTGAGAGCTAGGTAGGAAGGACAGTGGTAGCTGTTCAGGGTCTTGGAGTTCAGAAGCTGGGCTTCTGCTGCTCAAGACACAGGTGGAAGCTAGGGCATTGTGGGTGGGTGGGTGGGTTGGTGTTGCTATCTGCTGTAGACAGTAAGGCTCCTGTGGGATTGGGACTCTAGGCAGATGTCAGGACCTCCGGCCATAGTGATGAGCTCTCAGCGAAGGTCAGAAGGCTGACCATACCGGCAGGTCAAGTAGCAAGGACTTCTGGCGATATGGTGAAAACACCAGTCAGCTCTATTGGAGAGCAGGAAGGACAAGGAAGCCTTGACCAAAGTCTGGGCCCTTCCTCCATGCCCTCTCACTTCCTTTGCTTCAAGGTGACCCTTCAAACTAAAGACGGGGGAAGATGGCTGAAGGTTAACAACGCACTTCTGCCCTCCACAGAGCCCAAGTGACGGTGGGGAAGGGTGAGATCTTCCTTACTGCGTGCTTGGTTGCTTGGTTTTATCAATTACATGTGGTCTCTGACTGACAACGTGAATAGGAGCAACAAAGGTATTTTCTTTCATAAAACATCCCATCGTGAAAAACAGAAAATGCGTCACTCCTCATTTTATAATTCAATCAAAATCTCTAATAAACTTTTGATGACACTTCTGGTATCAAAAGCACACTGGAGGATGTTATAACATACGTGTTAATTTAAGAGTGGCCTGAAAGCACAGTAGAAGGAAGTAAAATTAGACTTAAATACGGGATATTTTAAAGTAACAAGAAATGTCACTTACGTATATAGAGGAATGTATTTACTCCTAGTACTTGGACTCACACTTAGAAAAAGAAAAAAAAATATGGGCAATTGAGTTATTAATATTCAAAATAATTATCAAATTACTACAACAGTTCTCAAATTGAAAGGCCCTCAGAGATACAGAAATTGATCTAAAATCTTGTTTTAGAAAGAGTGGAGTGGTTTTAGAGTATTCCATTCATTGCTTTTTAATACTTTAGAATGTCTGTCTGTCCATCCCAATGCTGAGAGGTATGCTACCTGTTTTTAGATCTTAGAAACTGTGGGAAAGCTGTTACAAACATTTATACACAAGTTGTAAGTTCCTGAGACAAAGTCCCATGACTCCAAAATGAAAAATGTCCTAGCCTAGAGAGTTCAGAGAAGTGGCATTAATACGAAACAAAGCTTTCAACTGATGTCTCATTTGTCATCCCAACCGCCTAAAAATGCAGCCAATTCATAAACCCTCAATAAAACGATGCAAGTAACATGTTTTGATCAACATCCAAGCATTTCATGAATACTTGTTCATGAATGATTCATAAGAAGCTGAGTTTCTTGCTTGGCACAGGTCCATAATTCTAGCACTGGGGGCTGAGTCAGGAAAATTATGAGTTGGAGATTAGCAGAATGAAATAAAAATTCAATCATATATTTTATTTACTTGAGTACTTGAGTGGTATTATCAACAATTCTAGTTTGCCCTGTAGATAAAAAGCTTATTTTTTTCTTTAATATTTCAATATTATAAAATTATCCTTCAATTTGTACACTAAAATCTACATTGAGGTGTTATTACACATTTGATAAGATACTCTAAATAATTTAATAATTTATTATTAATATATTTGTTATATATCATACATAATATACATAAGAGACTTATTAATTTTAATTTGATAAATGCAAATATTGTGTTTAGATGTGACTTAAATTTAATTTTTTTAAAAAATTTTTAAATTAAAATATGATTACATCATTTCTTCCCTCCAAGTCCTCTCAGATTACCTCTCCTGCTCTCGAAATCATGGACTTTTAAATTTGCTACTTCCTCTCTTTCCCCTAAATCTACCAATGAAACATAGTGAGTTTTTTTAGTGTTACTCCTATGCCTATGATTTCAGGGCTGAATACTTGGTGGGGGATAACCAACCAGGAGACTCATTCCCTTGGGGAGACTATTTCTTCCATTCTCATTCACAAGACTTAGTATTTTCCTCAGTAAGAGGAGCAATAGGTAAGTAATCACCTCCTGGGGTTGTGCACTCTCCCTCAATGGTGCCTGTTTGACTCACACTGTTCTGCATAACTGGCCCCAGTATTTGTTGGAAAGCACAGTTTTGTGACATTGCCTCTCAAAACCTCTAGTCATGACAGATGCCTGTTGTGACTCAGCACACATAAGAGCACACACCATCCATTCGACTACTGAATAAACTACTTGTGCAAATGAACTAGAACGTCTTAGTTATGGTGATGGACTGGGTTCCTGACTGACACTCAGAGAATGTGGGCATCAAATTATTTAGAGAGATGCATGTAAAACCACGGAAGACAGTATCTTCCTTTCCTTCATTCCTATAAAATAATTCAACTTAAAATACTTTAACATAAAATACTTCGCAGGTAAAGGAAGAGTTCATATTAAAACACACAAAATAGTAAAGTCTTTTCTGATGAATTGTGAGCTACATTAGAAACTAATACTTCATTTCTGCAAAAAGCATTCTAATAGAGAAGTCATGGACGAGATGGAGACACTTCCATATGTACTGTTAATAAAGGAAATTTCTATTTTATTACATTTATTCATTTATATGTTCACTGTGTATGCTTGTATGCTTGTGTGTGTGTGTGTGTGTGTGTGTGTGTTTGGGTTCTACACATGCTTTGGCATATTTGTAAAGATTAGAAGGCAACTTCTTGAACCATCAGTTCTCTCCTTCCATCATGTGGGTTGCAGGAACTGCAGGTACTCACGTGAAAGATTTAGTGACAACTGCCTTTTTTACCAAACAAACCATCTTTCCAGCTTTCCATAAAGGATTTCTATTCGAATATTTAAACATAAACATTTTTACATTGAGTAAGTAGAAAACAAACAAGCCACCAGCACAAGAGACAAAATATATGAAGCGGCGAGGTGTAGCTATGGATGTATAAGTGATATGTACTTTTACAACAATGATTATCGGCAACTAGGTATATGTACTCTGCAATTTTAACAAAGTAAAGTTCATATTCGTAATGAAAATTCTAGACATTGTGTTGTAATGGAAACTTAAGAATGGCTGGTGGGAGATTCCATTGTTTCAACTCATTTGAAGACGAATATGAAAGTAACTAGAAGATAAGGAGGGATGCCCCTTTTAACCCAGAAAGTATAAAGACATAATTTGGTATGTATCAAATGATGTATCAATCCAGAAATATTTTTTTTATAACTGGGTACGTGAAAGTATATGGATGCTGTTTCAACTAAAATTAAATAAGAAACTAATGATATTGATAGGTGAGTCAACTGAACTCTAACCTACAGACAAAACGAACATTCACAGATGCAGAGAGCCTAGATGTGACTCTTATGAGTATGCTGGTGGATACAATGCTATATGGTATAAACATAGGCAAGACAGCTTGCATATTGAGTTTATAGAAGGAATTTAATACTGTATGTTAGGTTAATAACAGTAAACTATAAAGGGATAAGAGAATACATGAAAATGTGGACTATCGAATACTTATTAATGTTTCTGGAAGGAGACAGATGTGCTGATGAAGAGACTCAGGCATTTCCTTTGTGTTGTACTTTTTTCCCCAGTAGAGTGAGGAGATTTTATCTACATGTTTTTAATACAAAACATTCAGAGGGAATTATTTAAGAGAGACCATAACCAGAGTTGTATCATCCATAAAGGAAAGATAAATAGTGACATTTTTGAAGACAAAACCATAAAGTTTTTTATATTCAATGGATGGAATTATACAGAGAAGAACATCAATAATAAAGCCACCACTTTAAGCTTGACTTTAAGCTTGACTATAACACAATAACACAAATATGCGATATGAAAGTTGATCAAATATGTCATTTAGAGTTCCCTTTATATGAAGCTCGGGGAGTGCCACAGCATTGTAAATGTCTGTTTATAAAGTACTCCCAATATTAAAACATACACTTAAAAGTGTCAGTTTGGAGGGTAAAGAGAGGCCAGATGCTGTGGAGTAACTGAAATGGGATTTGGATCCTCTTCTCAGCCTCATGACTGTTGGATGAAGGTCTCTGGGACATTCTTTATCTGAAGTCAAGTCCCACTCCTGCCCTTAGTGGGGAGATTGGGATTTTGGTGGTGAGGATAAAGATAGCAATGACAACATTAGAAGTCAAACTTACAAATTGATTGGTTTGGCTGGTGCTGAGAACAATCTCGTCTGAAATCTGTCCCAGAGTCCTCCGACCATCTAAAGCCATTGTTGAAATAAACAAAAAACTATTTAATGATCTTATTGTAATTTCATAGATTCAAGCTTTGGTGTCCTTACCAGGCTCCTCACATCATAGCTGAGCCTAAACTCTGGGAAAGTCCTTTCCAGGTATCCTGGCAACTCTGGGTGGAATACGGCTTTGCATTCTGAGTGTGTGGGTCCTGGCTCTTTGCTCAAACTTCTATCCTGTGTCCTCAAGCGGGAATGTGCCCCATGTCCACCTCTGCAGCTGACATGGTCTCTCCATGTGAAATGTTAGCTTCAGTTTCATGACAGATACTTCCCCTCTTGGACACCTTGCAGCCTTCCCTTTATAGCTTTGCACAGAGCCTGACTTAGAATAAGTGTCTTACATGGGAAGGACTTTAGATACTCAAATCATTTAACACAGAGGAAATGTAACGACATGGCTAATTTTTATGTGATATAAAATTCCCTTGAAGTAACTGAAAGATCCTTAAAAATAAATAAAGTCTACACAACTTTTGTCCTTTAACTGATTTTCACTTTTATTTAATAAACAAATGTTTGAGTGTTTATAGAAAGCTCCCCCCTTATTATTTCTTTCTCTTTGAAAGTGGAAGAAATTTTACAGAGGCTCAGACACTCCTTAGAGTATGATTGTTTTCCCTCTTCATATTGTGGATCTCATATTCGCAGAAACTTCATAATGAGAACCATTCAACAGCTGATCCAGACTTACACTGTGAGCTGTGATACCGAGCATAAGGGGACAGAGAAACAGGAAGTGCTTTGCAGGCATGAAGCAAGGAGACTGAGGCAATATTGAGAGGAGGAAAGTCAGGGTGTCATGAGTGCCTGGGTTTCACCCTGGCACAGAGCTGTTAAAGTGATGGGACATGGCAGGACCCTGCAGGGAGCATGGTGGAACTGGGCACTGACAGCTCACTGGAAATGGAAGGTAACAAAGAACAGGCAAATGACAGAATACTGGTTACATGTCTTAACAAATGGCTTGGGTTCCATGCTCTGAAAAAAGATGGAGATAGACAGAATGGTGGCATGGACAGATGCATATTCTAGAGAAGGTTCTCCATCCATCATCAGTAGGGAATCAGGACCTATAGTTCACATGACAAAGTCTTTTTACCATTCATTGGTAGAATCAATGGCCATCTGTCTGAGAGCTCTGTGGACTAGACTGTATCACATGATTGGTGACATTAGACAGCAGGCTACAACTTATAAATCTTCCTATTCTGCTTGGCCAGCTAAGTTCTAGATCCTATTTGCAGAAGTATGTTCAGCATAGAAAAATGATGCCTTTTTGTCTCCATTATTTTACATTCTGTAATTATCAAAATTAATAGCCACCACAAATGGCTTCGAGGGAGAAATCATTAAATAGTCAACATTTTCGGTATGGGCAATGAGGAAATATTTACAGTTACCACTGACTTATGATTATATCACTTTCACCTTCACATTTAATCCTCAACAACAGAATATCACTGCGGCTTGAGTTTGAGTTGAGTTGCAGTCATAGCAAGAAGTAGGCACCGTTGTCAGGGATGCTCACTGACCTGGGTTATGGCTGGTAGTCTTTCATATCTTTTCAGTGAAAAACACTGTGAGATGCGGTCAGAAGCTTTTTCCACCGTTGTTTCTTCTGGATCAAGTTTTGGTGGTAGTATCTTGTCCCAAGGAACATCTTCATAAGCTCTGGGAATTATTAAATGTGTTAAACATGGACATATTTAACAAATAATGCATAAAGTACATATTCACAGCAGGGTAGAAAGACTATCTAATTTATAAATGTTGTGTCTTTGAAAATTGATTTTGGAACAGGGGATCAGGTAAGCAACCTTCATTCTCTCTCCTATCCTCCAGTTCTAATCACCCAGGTTACTCTCAGTTTTGGAACAATCAGTCCTAAGTAGTATGCCCCCATCAAACTCTTCTTGTTAGAGCTTATGGAACCCTTAAGGAGAAGAAGGAGAAAGATTATAAAAGCCAGAGGGAGGTTGAGGACATCAAGGAAAAAGAGCCATGTAAACTCAGACGGACTGACACACATGAACTCACAGAGACTTGCATAGACCTGGGCTGGGTTGAGAGGGGAAGTGGACACAGGTACCCATCCTTACCAGAGAAGTTATCTCCAGCTGATAACTGCTTACAAATGAAAAATTAGTTTTCTTCAACAGAGTCTAGTGAGTGTACAAATTATTCTCCACGTTTAGCTTTAGATGACAAACACAAAATCAATTCAATAGCATTTTTTGGAGGTTCTTTGTCTTTTAATGTCAGGACATCTTTTTTTGGTATAATTCATAACAACATCATATACAGCTAATAAGTACATTTCTAAGATCCCGGTCTACTGATGCTAACACTACATGGATACTTCTATTTTAATGAAGAAATGAAATTGAAGTATGGAGGATGTCTGCATCATTTAGTGCATAACGGAGGCAGGCTGTGGCCAGCATGGAAGTTCTTGCCTATTGCTTCTCTCTTCTCCATTCATTTCTCCACATCATGCAACACCATGCTTTTATCATCTACTCTATTTCTCTGCTGGCTTCCAATTCTACAGATGAATCTAGTCAACGATCCTGGGACCTTATTTGACTTGACCTAAGTGCATGGCATGTAGCATCACTCCTTTCTTCTTGCATCACACTTTTAACATGCCTCAGAAGACATGCATAGCCCAGGTCACTCTGAACGTAGCAGCCAGCACGACTTCTTCATAAATGAATCTGATCCTATCACTTTTTTTTCTAACTAGAGTGCCAGTCATTAAAGTGCCCTGTCACACTTGCTTCCTCTCACCCTGCAGGTTTCTGCTCACGCCTCACTCCTCCTGTTGATGACTGAGCCTGCTCTCCACAGCTCTTAGCTACCTCTTTCTTTTATTTGTGGGCTAATCATCTTTAAGAACAGATTCTGTTGGGTTTCTCATTATGTTTTATCTTACTGTCTGTTTCTCTTTAAATTGAGAGCACTCAAAGATCAGAGAGGTAAGTCTGTTTATTCAAAGATGCATCTCACAGCCTAGGACATGGACATGTTGATACTGGGCAGGATATAAGATCCCTTCATTCCAGAGTCTGATTGAAGTCCCTTATCAATTGGCATGCAAGAATTCAGCACAATTGACATTTGCTGCAATGGCTACCTACATAAAATTGACCTTCTATTTTAAAAATATAGATATTTCCTATTCAAATAACAATGAATCAGGCTAAGACTTGTGTGCATACGATCTTGTAGGACTTTTTTCATCTCCCATATCTTACCTGATAATCTCAAACAAGACTCTATGTAGTGAAAGCTAACCTATGGTCCTGCAACCCATGTATCTTATCAACTGTAATACTGCCAGGTGCTCCTGAGAAACAACCCTGTAATCCTACTTACATGCCTTAGGAACCCTCTAAAGATAATGACACCAAACCCCACCAAAGCACTTGACTGTTGTAAAATAATGAGCTTCTAGTCTCCTTTAAGAAGGAATATGTCTTACTTTCAGTTACTCTCTTCGAGAAGACCACATCCATGCTGTCTGCTGTGTGGTTCTTCTGAAAGCCTTTTTCTCTTAGGCTTTGCACTTAAAGCCAATATAAATGACATTTTTTATTAAGCCCCAACTCTGCTTCATAATCTGGCTAGTTCTGAAATTCTTTCCTCTATCTTTGTCAATAATCCAGGTTTTCCTTAAGTCATGCTCACTAAGTCTAGAAGAATTCAGGCTACTGAGCACGACAGTGGGAAGCTTCACCTCCTGCCTCTGCGCCACAAAGTGCTGACAGATTGAATGATCTTTCTTTAAGCTTTCTTCAACATTGTTCTTTGTGATGTTGTGGTTATGGTTGTTCTGTCTCCTCTCTTCCCTTCCCTCCCTTTATTCCCCCTTCCCTAAATTTTGGTTGTATTAACATATTTTATCTCCTTGCCTCCCTTCCCCTCCCCTCCCCTTCCATCCCCTCCCCTCCCCTCCCCTATCCTCCCCTCCTCTCTCCTCTCCTCTTCTCTCCTCCCTTCCTCTCTGCCCTCCTCCTCTGTCCTCTCCTTTCACCCCCTGTCTTTCTGAGATAGGGTTTTTGCCTGTAGTTAGTCCAGGTTTAACCAGAACTCATGATAATCCTCTAATCTAGCCCTCTGATTTCATGGATTACAGGTGTGAACATACGTCTTCTTCAAGCCCTGATAGACTTACTATTTAGTCAACATAGATGACTTAGTGCCTTTGTTTGATATTCTTTGAATAATTCATATGATCCAGATCACTATTAACACATGTACCATTAAAAATTAAGAAATATACTTTAACTTTTTCATTGAGAAAAAACCTTACTTCTGTGTTGAGGATTTGTAGAATGAATCCTTTATGTTATAGTTCTTGTCTAGCTGGACAAGTGGTTCACTATCATCCTATAAAATAGAAACAAGAAGTTAAATAGACCAAACATAAATAGTATTGCTATATTTCTTATACCCTATGTTTTCTGAATTTCCTTATTCTTCACAAGTTATATGATGACTTGAACTATGTGTATGAATATATGGTTCAATAATTAAACTCAGATTCTTTAACACACTCATCATAGTTACCCTTTAAGTGTATTAAAGACGTTTAAAAGCTAGGTTCTTCTTAAAATCCCAGCGAACAACACAGGATTGTTATCTATGATCATCATGATATGTATCCTGTCTCTAGACCACACTCATTTTTGTTTGTATTTTCATATTGGATCCTCTAATCAATATCTCTCCATTTTTTCTATACTTACCTCATACCTATTCTACTTTACACTCTTCTTTACAGCTTTCTTAGATCCTTCACATATAAGAATATAAATATTTCTGTTTATGTGCCTAGTTTATTTGTCTTAGTATAAGGTCCTACAGATTTATTCATGCTGATGCAAATAGCAGACCTACATCTTATGGCTGAATAATATTCTAGTATATGCACATATATCCATTTTTCTTTATCAATTCATTTGTAGATAGATACTTAGGTAGTCAACCATGCTTTACTTTATAAATTTTTCTTCACTCAGGCAGGAGCCATATGCTTGTAATTCCAGCATTCAGAACATGGAGATAGGAGAATCTGGAATAAAAGGCCAGCCTCAGCCACACAGCAAGTTTGAGGCTATTCAGGACTACACGATATGTCTCAAAAAAAAAATCCCAATAAACTTAATTAAAAATTAAAATACTTATCCTATGAATAAATTCTGCATTCCATTGATTTTTAACTCTCTATGTTTTATTCATTTATATATTTAGTTTGATTTAGTCATATTCTAATATCCTAAAATCGAAACATATCAATTCCTTCTTTTCAAATTTAATCATGTAAAGTTAAATTTTCTTCTTAGCAAAATCTTAATTGCATGATACCCAAATATATACATTGTGTCTTATCCTGTTTCAAATATTTTCTAGTTTCTCTTAAAATTCTTCTTTGACCCATTTGAATAATAAATGAATATGTTTAATTTTGAAATATTTTTTCCCTAAATATAATGTGGTTGATTATAAGTGAACTCTGTAATGTATTGAGGACACTGTGTAGAATTACTTCTCTGATGATGTTTTACAATGTGGTGATGGAATTCCTGGCCTTGCAAATGCTAGGTAAGTGATCAGCCTCAAAACCACATCTTCTTCCCTATTGTGATCATAAATGTACTACAACTTAATTTCACACATAGTCATTACTATAGTAGTGGGCATATCCTGTGTATTTGGAAATATGTCTTCATCTTTGGTTGAGTTCAATGTTACAGAAATGTCAGGGACTTGAAGGAATCAGAACTGCTGTTTCTATCTAAGTATGGACTCTTTTGTAAAGTTGCCAAATGACTATACAGTGAGATTACAATCTAAACGACACAGAAGTTGTTCATTCATCTTTTAGAGGTCTATTAATTTTTGCTACATGTGTCTAAGACATTTCGCTTTTGAACCTTATGCTTTCTTGACAAATCTACCACAAGAGGGGCCTTTATATGTTGTAACAATTTTTGCCTTGCAACTTATTTAGTTTGATCCTAAAATATCCACTACAGATTGTCCATGCTTTGTGTAAACTGTCAACACTCTTAACTGATTAACTTTTAAGGTGTTTGCATCTTGTATTTACAGTGAGCCTCTTACAGATAGTGTAGTGTAGACTACATGCTTAGTCATCTTCTGACAATTTCTGTATTTTATTGTAACTATTAACATATGGAAGTCAGGTGTGGGATTTTATGTAATTTCTTAGTCTTCTCCCTTCTCATTCTCTGTTCCCTGTTTGCTGATTTAATACAAAATCCAACTGGTAATCCATTTGCTTTTGTTTTACACTCTTACCACACATTGTAATATTCTGGAGAGTATACTATCTAATGAACTCTAGGAGCAATATTACATATTTTTTAAATAATAAGTTTGGATTTTTATGTACACTAGAAGGAAAAAATCTTTCGTTATTCAATTTCTTATAAGGCACATCTATTGGGAATTATTTTCTTCTTTGTTTCCTTACTCAAAGGTTTCTTTTTTAGCATTCTAATATATTCAATACATTTGGATGCCCAAATATACCCATATTATAATCTTGGAAAATGTTAATTTACTTTGTAGATGGAATTAAATTGTTCATCAAGTGACCATAGAATGAGAAAAATTATCTTGAACATCCTTATGGCACAATGTAGTCACGATTGTCATGAAATTGAGTGACGGAGGCATTCACACACATATCACAGCCATTCTTTGTGATGAGCGGATTCAGCCCATCATGCCAGCTTTGACGATGAAGACAAATGCCACAAGCCAAAGAATACAGGCAGCCCATGCAAGCTAGTTAGAATGCAGTGAGTGTTGTGAACTGCAAATGTGTCTCTCTTTGTAAAATCAAAATTTTGTAAAATTTTATTTGTAAAATAAAATTTCAGAAATTACTTCTTCATATTTTTTTCTACTTTTCTAAATTCTAGACTCCATTTAGTGTATAAATGCCCCTTTCAAACTATCCTCACAGTATATGATATTTTCTGTTAATTTTAATTTTCCCCCTTTTAAATATGTTTCCTTAAACTTGATGTTTGAAATAGTTTAAAATAAAGATAAATAACTTAAATAAGTTTTACATAAACTTTAACATTTATTTTCATAATGTTAGTACTTCTCCTGGTTACACACTCTTTTTGTTATAAAGTCCACGAGTCTTTTAAGATTTTGACGCTTTTAGTTATATAATTTACATTTTTTCTGCTTCTTTAAATGCATTCTTTTTCTGTGCTAAGATTTCCAGTCTTTTCATTTTTATGAAAATATCTTCCATTACATCATTGGTATGGCTGATTTTTGACACATCCGAGAAGAGAGGATCTCAACATAGCAATCCCCTTCATCAGATTGAATTTATGCATCTCCATTTTTGTATGTTATGTACAGAGTACAACATATAGCCTAATGTCGAAACTACTTTGGACATTCCATCTTACACCTGTCAAAATGGCTAAGATCAATAACATAAATGACAGCTCATGACGAGGAGGACGCGGAGCAAGGGGAACACTCTTCTATTGTTAGTGGAAGTGCAAACTTGTAGAGCCATCACGGAAATATTTGATCATATTCACTTTAATTCTTCCCTCCATCTCCCCTGGCCCTGCTCAACACATATTCCTTCCAAACTCCTTCCAATCTCACATCTTCTTATATTTTTATAACATACTGCAATCATCCACTGGGATACGGGAAACCTACCAGTGGCCACGTCCCCAAAGAGAGGTAAATTTCTCTGTCGTCAGCCATCAGCTGTCAGTAGCTCCTCACAAAGGAGTAGGACCCTGATAGCTCTTCCCCTTTCACGCTGAAATTATTTCTTTGCTTGATCTCGTGTAGTCTCGTATCGGTAACCACAACTGCTGTGAGCATGCCCAGAGGACCGCCCCTTCTGGCGTTTCTCCCTATCGTCTAGCTATTACATCCTCCCTCATCCACTGCTTCTGTGACGTTCTTGAGCCTTGGTGGGGGTGAGTTGTGATAGATGTCCACCTAAGGCTAAGCATTCACCATCACAAATTCTCAGCACTTTGAACAGTAAAGACTCTCTGTATTAACCCCTACTCATTGCAGTAAGAAGTTGCTCTGACAAAGGCTGACAAATCCGACAGAACAGCGGAACACGTTTTCAGAGAGGCAGGGTCTCAAAGCAGTTTTGCAAAGAACTAACATGTAACACAGAAGATCATATGTTTGTTTCCAGTATCCTTAATTTATTTTTCCTTTACTGCACTTTGTTCATAAATTGATTTTTCCCTCCTTTCTAATTTCACGAGACGTACTTTGCTTCCTGAGTTGTGGGGTTTTCTTGTGTTCTAACACATTTTAAAGGCAGGTCCTGTGTTCCAGGGTTGATTACAGTTCTTACCCACACATTTCACTACAACGTTTTGATTTCCCTTATAAACACCTTGTAGCTTCTCTTACGGTTGTGAACTCTTCTCTGGATGATGACCATCCATAACCACACCTTGCTGTTTCCACATACATAATCTGGAAGGGTGTTTTGTTCCGTCACAATTGTCTTATGCTCAAAGACCGTGCAGTTTATGAGTTAAAAACGTAATTCGTGGACTTGTTATATGACATTGTCTATGGCAATTTGTATAAATACTCTTGGAAAAAGGTATATGTATGCATTATTTTTCATGATTTTATTTTTCATTTTCCATGATGCTTTATATCATGTATATGCTTTTGTTTCTAGTAGGGTGTGCGGGTGTTTTATATTTCATACATTTCAGCAATCTGTCTTTTAACTGAAACATCAACATTTTACATAGAAAATACATAATTACTGACACCAAGTTTGAAACGACTACCTTACATGTTCTCTATGACCTACATGCCTTTTAAAAATCTTATTTTAATTTTGTTTGAATTGGCTTCTTGTTATTCAATGAGTTCTTTTTGTCTATTTCTTTAGTATTTAATCTACAAATTGCAATGTGAACACATATTTTCAAGGCTTAAAAATAACTAGTACCTTGACTCTTCCCTAGGAAAGAGTCATATCTAAGTGCTGATCCTCCTACAGATTAATTATTCAATTGCATTTTCATTCAATATACATATGTTTTAAACCCCACAGGTAATTGCTATTGTTTTATAAAGTCATTTGTATCAACCATGTGCTTATATTTCTCCTCTTGGTTCTTGCCTGTATCTCTGATCACAGTGTCTCCTTCCCTACTGACTAATGAATACCTTAATATTTTCTTTAGTTTTTTTTTTAATGCTTTAGGATAAACTGTATGGTCTTGAAAAAAATCTCTTGAATTATCGATGTTCTTAAAGTGTAACAGAATTCTAAGTGGCAGAGTGGTCAAGTAGTGCTAGCAGCCTGACTTGAATTGCAGCAA